CCAGCCGCTCTGCGGCATGTGGGATCTTCCCGGACTGGGGCACGAACCCGCGTCCCCTACATCAGCAGGCGGACTCTCAACCACTGCGCCACCAGGGAAGCCCCAGATATTTTGTTTTAAGGCATGGACCAACAGCAAGATATTTTTGGCCTCTAAGGAAGCATGTGATCTGGAGACTGCAAGAACAGTGACCACCTTCAGAATGTAAGTTTCAACATCAGGGACCTTGACTGAGAATGTGTTGACTATACATCTATGCAGGTTTATAGGAAATGTATTCCACTTACACTCATTCATTTGTCTATTTGTTTACTTACTCATTTACTCACTTATTCAACAAACGCTTATTCAGGTCTCCTTATGCCATGTATGTAAAATACAGTCAAGAATACAATCATGAATCAAGTCTTTAAGATTCTGTCTTGGCTGTTAGTGCCTCCTCCAGAAAATGTTTCAGAGGATTACTTCATTCTAGCTCAAATCTTAAGTAATGTGGCCAGGTGTGAGGAAGTCAGAAAAATGGGCCATGCTCTTTGCATACCTGACAGGTAATGTTGGTGCCTTAATTCTCTGGTCCAGCAGAGGGCACAGTGGTATAATAAAAAGTACAAGAGTCCTCCTCTTCACTGCCTTGAGAAGTGATCAATCCAGACTGAGATCTTTGTAGATACAGGGATCCCCTCTGTCCCATGCACTCTAAATTCTAAATGTTTCAAGTAATTGCTAATCAATTATTTGCACAAGGAAGACCAAGAGTCTCAACACAGAAACCACAAAGTTAATTTCTAGCAACTTGGCTTTCACCTCAAAATATTCAGTGGAAGATGTAGTTGGCATTTTTAAGAGACTGCCAGAAAGCATTTGAAGAAAGCCATATTGACAGGGAATCCAATGCATATGGGTCCTATATAAATTTAGCAGAAACATTTTGTTGAGAGACAATTATTTTGGGAAACAGAGTCTACTCTGGGTTCTGTTGCTATACATGTGTTTGCTTTAGAAAAAATAATTTGTGAGGAACTTTGTCCAGTTGGGGAATATGAGCTTCCAGTGAGTTTCATCTTACAATAGGTAGATGTAAAAGTTGTCATTTATGTCTCATTTATTTGTATTTTCCTGGCACCCAGCAGAAGACTTCCAGGTGTAGGTAATTAGAAAATTGCTGTGGAATGAATCATTATGTTTTAGCTTTCCTCTTTTGACTGAGAATGTGTGTTTTGTCAAGTGGTAAGAATTCTACAAACTTTAATAGCCGACTCTTTTGAAAAAAGAGGTAAATTTTATGTTCAATTACAGTAATTAATCCTAATTTACTACACATATATGCATTTATTCACCCACAATATTTTATTTTTTACTTCAATTTTAGTGTTCACGGTTTTGTTTGTATGTGTGTATGTATAGATGATAGATAGAGATATATAAAGAGGTAGATAAAAGAAGTTGCATCAAATTCTTTAGAAGTAACAGAATAAATTATAAATTACCATAAATAAAGTTTACCCTCTGTGTGACCTTGGACAGTTAGTTTATTTCAACTGCCAGAACTTTAAAATCAAAATAAAGCTAATAATAGAATGTTGGGTTATTGTGAAGATTAATAAAGGTAAGACAGGTTAAAAAACACAAATGTGTGTATGTATATATACAAAAATATGTATATATATCTACATATTAAATATAGTTATATATATGCGTATGTGTGTGTATATGTGTGTGTGTGCGTGTATTCAAAATTCTTTATTAAATCAAAAGCTGTACCTGTTGACCTGGATCCTTGACCTCTCTTTTATGCAGTGGATGAAGTCTTCTGGGATAAACCACTTCATAGTTTTTCACTCCAGGGAGTTCTTTTATAGAATTTACTGAGCAAAAAAAAAAAAAAAAAAAAGGTAGAGAAGATTCAGCTAAGCAGAACTAACATATGCTGTTCGGTAGTGGTCATGTTGATTGCGTTTCTGATGAATGATGCCACACGCAGGGGCTTTAACTGAGTTATGTGAGAGAGTTATAAAAGTGCAGACACCAGAAAAGATCAGCAAAATTAGAAGCCCACTCTTCCTCTCAGATCTTTAATCTACATCTTCAGATATTCTCCCACTGAAAGTTTACTGGTGTTTCTCAGCTTAGTGAAGATATTTCTTTGGAATTTTCCCGCTTCTCTTTACCACTTTGTGTCCCCTAGGGGAAGGGAGCAAAAGGTTCAGGCAAAAGCCAGGACAGGAGAACAGAAGCCAAAGTAATCCTCTAAGAACCTAATCAGTGTCAGAATAATCAAACTGAAGCACTCTGAAACTACACAGTGTCATAAAAATGAAATAACTAATGGATACCAGTTCAGATTCTAATATATTTTTCTTGGGTTTTCCAACAGCAATATTTTACAGTAATGAAAGAAACGAAATCAGTAAGAAAAGGCTCCAATATCAGCTCCATAGAAGGGGCTGACTTTTGCAGTACAGACATACCTTCATTTTTGAATACAAAACGTGAAAAACATGAAACTTGGAGAAGCAGACAATTAGAGCACTAGGACTGGCCTGGAAGGAAAACTTCTGAACCTGCAGTTATATTGAAAGAGAATTGGAAAGATTCAACCTACTATGGCATCTTGAATTCTCATTTCAATGTTGTTTCCAGAAGTTATTTTTTTCAGAGAAATTCAGTTTTCCCAAAGCTGATGCTGAATTTTCTATTTTCTTTTTTATTTGCCCACATGGTCCAGTCCCTGCTCTGTATAAAGAAGTGCCTGAGGAAATGTCAACAGACCAGCTCTTTAGAGGTTAAGGGGCTGCAGATCCACAGAGAATGTAGGTACAAGGGAACAGGGATCCACAGGATGGCCCCAACCCAGCAGTTTCCTAACTGGAACTGGAAAGGCTTTAAATGACTAGAGGGTAATTCTAGCTCATTAAAATAGGCAAACCTAAATTCTATGATAACATAAATTTATGTGATGGGGTTGATCTTTTAGCAAATAAAACAGTATTTTTCATTAGTCGCTTTGCATGAATGTACACTTATCCCAGTGATGTTCCAGAGAATAAATGCTTATTTTTTCAAAGTTTCTTCAGAAACTAAAGTAGAAACTTTTCAAAATTCCTAGTGATATCAATTTTCTTTTATCATTTTAGGATGGCTTTCATTCTTCTGACCATTCAAGAGCCATTTGCATATCTAACTTTGAAGAATAGAAAAAGTGATTAAATTTGCTAAAAGCTCACTGGGTCAAAAACGGAGTGTTAAAGTGATGAAATGGCATTTCTTTCACTGGCTCAAGATTTACTGTTAAAAATAATTCAAAAACACTTAAAGCCGTGGCGTCAACACTAGACTACATTAACTTTGGGTTTAGTTTGGGTTTTTTAATTGTGAAAAGAGGGGGCAGATTAAATGATCTTGAAGAACAGTTCAAGTAGTCTACAACTTTATGCAAATAAATACAGAATCTCCAATGATCTCTTTGAATAGGTGACGGTCATTTCAATAATGTTCTATTCAGAACCTTGTGATAAAATGTCTCATTACATAGTCACACTTCAAGAATTACATCACAAGTTCCCTCAGTCACTTACTTCTTACTTCTAGAGCTAATCACTGGGCATCTTTTATTTCTATTTAATTAATTTTTGGTAGAGGAAAATAATAATGTTAGTTTTAAAACAATAAGCGAGGTTCAAAAGCCTAAAGGAACAGTAAATCAGTCATTTTCTTTCCATCGAGTGAAAATTTTCCTAATTATCATAATTATTTCAAAATAATAAGATGCCAAGAGTAAGAAAATTACTCTTGCCAGAAATTAACTGATGGTAGCAATTCCGTACAGTCTCCTGTTAATCTCTAAGTACACCATAAGGCACCCGCATGCTGTCTGGTGGACTGTGTTCAATCAATGCAATTAGTCCCATTAATATGGAGCTCATGAAGCCATATATTCACCAACATTGCAACCAGAGTAACTCTTCTAAAAATGCTGTATGAAACACACATTATTCTGATGGGAAATATTAGTCTAAGCTGCCCTCAGTTCATAAAATAATAACTACCCAACTAATTCTTTTTATAAAAGCAGAAAGGGATAACACTCACATGCTCCCCTTCAGAAGTGGTGAGAAGGGGACAGGCCAATCCAACCAACACAAGTTTTCTCTGATATACACATTGACCTCCATGCCTCTAGTTAGTATCTAAATGCTAATGTTTCCCAACTGACTATGAAATATGGAGTCTAAGCATGTAAATCAGTGGAGAAATTTCTTTCCAACTCTTTGTTTGATGGCCAAGCACTTCCAAATGGCAACCAAAACAAATCAATGAAGAAACTAAACCAGGATATTTTTTAAAACGCCTCCAGCAACCTCTCACTTTCTTCAGTGTGAAGTGAACAGATTTCCAGCTTTTCACATTCTTGCAGCAGGGTACATTCTCTAAAGATAACAGATAGAATTTCCCTTAGTGGCCCTTCTTTTTCTGAAACCGCGAAGGCCCTGAAAGAACGAGATTTGAGATACAACAAATTATACAGCAGTTAAAGAGAGGCAACAGACCTAAGTGTTGTTTGGCTCATCATCCTAACGTGTGATGGTGCCGTCTCCTCCCAGCTGTGTAACAGCTCACTGTTATTCTGAGGCCTGTGGAACCAACACAACTATCATCCAGGGATTACACAAATCTGAGATGAAACACAATATGTTTCTACTAATTCACTTTAATGCTTGCTTTTCTCTCTCCCACAGAACTCACGGGATGGATTAGTTTTGACTAGCAAAACCGGATCAAGAAAAAGAAAACTCTTATTTGGCTTTGGGTTAGATCATTATTTTCACTGTTTATTAGTTTTAGAAGAGTGAAATCTTTGGGGGGGGTACTTTGGGGGGGGTACTTTTTATTTGGCAATAATTTCAAATGTATACAAGAATTGCAAGAATAGGAATAGTACAAATAACGTCTTTATATCCTTCACCCGGATTTACCTAATTCACAGATCTACCCTATTGCCAACATGTTCATGAGTGACAAAGTATTCTTGTAAGCCACCAATATTTTGAGGTTGTTGTCACTGAGATTTTGAATATTCTCAGTCTCTCACATATATACATATGTGTATATACACATACATATGTATATAAATATACATACACATACACACAATTTTTTCTAACCATTTGAGGATGAGTTACACTACATACATCATGGTTCTTTACCCCTACAAACTTGAGTATTTCCTAAGTACAAGAATATTCTCTTACACAGCCATAGCACAGCTCTCAAATTTAAGAAATTTAACACTGAGCCAGTACTTTTACCTAATCTACCATCAGTATTCCAGTTTTGTCAATTGACCAAATAATATCCTTTATAGCATTTTCCCCATTCCAGTGCAGGATCCACTCTAGGGTCAGGTATTTTATCTAGTTTTCATGTTTGTGGCCTCTCCCGTTGCGGAGCACAGGCTCCGGATGCGCAGGCTCAGCGGCCACGGCTCACGGGCCCAGCCGCTCCGCGGCATGTGGGATCTTCCTGGACCGAGGCACGAACCCGCGTCCCCTGAATCGGCAGGCGGACTCTCAACCACTGCGCCACCAGGGAAGCCCTCTTTACTCTCTTTTAATCTGGAAACTTCTGACCTTCCTTCCACCCTCCTTTCATCCTTCCTTCCAACCGTTTTCTTTCTTTCTTTCTCTTTCTTCCTTCCTCTATCTCTCTTTCTCTCTCTGCCTCCCTCCCTCTGTCTTTAGAAAAGTTAAATCTTGTTGACAAGATTAATATACCAGACATTAGTCTGGATGGCTACTTTATCTTTTAATGTGTTTGGAGCCATTTTAGAGTTTAGCCCCTTTGTACATAATACTGATATTTCCATTTTTCTTCAAATCTGTTCAAAACTGTTGAAAGCAATGTCTTTTCAAACTAAACACATGATGTTAAGCCCTGAATCAGGGTTTATGCAATGACATGGACTTAGGTTCTGGGATTCTCTGTACCCCATCAAGCTACCCCATCAAACTATCTGGTGATTTTAAACTTCATGCAGTAAAAGTGAGTACAAACACTAAAGGAAAAAACACATCCTAATTATGTCTATCACTTTGGCTCTAAAGATCAAATTACGTATACTCTTTGGGGTCTTCCAGTCGACTTATGGAGACAGGAAGAAATTGCAATTTGAAATAAAATAATTTCAAAAAGTACTGTACCCCCTGGATATTCTGCTGAAGTAAAGAAATTTCTCCTTACTTCTTCACCCCCAAGCACCTGTCACATTCTTTAAATTTTTTTCCCTTTCCTACAATGAAATCTTATAAGTTATTTTTCTCAGGGGATTGTAAAGCTCATTACAAACAGTTGGCCTGATTTGACCTCATTTTTTAGTTTCGCATATGTAAGAACTGGGCAGGAGTCATGGTTGGAGGGGCACATACTTATTCTCTGGATGATGGGGGCAGAGAAACAAAAAAAGGAAGAGATGGGAAAATGGAAATGGCTTTATGTCTTACATTTCAGTGGGTATTTCATTTCAGGGACCATGGAGACATTCCTTTTTTTTTTTTTTTTTTGGCTGCGTTGGGTCTTGGTTGCTGCACACAGGCTTTCTCTAGTTGTGGTGAGCAGGGGCTACTCTTCATTGTGGTGCATGGCCTTCTTATTGCCGTGGCTTCTCTTGTTGCGGGGCATGGGGTCTAGGCTCATGGGCTTCAGTAGCGGCACACCGGCTCAGTAGTTGTGGCACGTGGGCTCAGTAGTTGTGGCTCACAGGCTTAGTTGCTCTGCGGCATGTGGGATCTACCGGACCAGGGCTCGAACCTGTGTCCCCCGAATTGGCAGTCGGATTCATGGAGACATTCTTGAAAATACACAATGGAAAATAAAAAAGAGGGGGCAGCTTTCTGTTCCAGATGGAAGATAAGGGAAGGCAGCTTTCTGTTCATCCCCCCATCCTCACAAAAGCCACTTCAGAACCTCTGTCCCCTTCTCACCAAGTATTCAGAGATGTCACAGTTTGTGACATGACCTCTAAAAATGTTTTGTCTCTTGGGGCAAATGATGTGAATGCAAAGACAGGAGAACAGAATCAGTTAGTATGCCCAAATTCACCGAAAAGGCTATAATGTGGGTGGACCACACTGGTAGCTATGTTATTCTGTTAACAGACCCAGCTTGATCTTTATGCTGTTGGGTAAGGCTAGTACACAAACAATTCTTATGTTTCAACCAAGCAAAGTGTCCCAGAGAGTGTTCAGTGATCCTACTTTTGGAGAATGTAGGGAAAGAAGATTTCTATTAACTTTGACTCAAAAAATAGGAATTTTAAGTCAATAATTTAAATTCCTAGCACAGTTCTATACCAAAAGATGTTAAGTTAAAACTTTCCCAAGTCTGAAAAACAAATCAGAAACCAGCGTAAAAGGAAAGATGCTTTTAGTGACAAAGTACTGAGTGGGCAAAAGGGGTAGGAGAATATTTCCCTACCTAACCCCATCCTTCTTGTTGATAATTTGTTCCCATTTCTAGGTCCCGGCAAACATTCTAAAGCCCAGGAAAAGGTTTACCAGGGAAGGAGTCTCACGCACTGAAGCTAACGTGCTGAATTTCAATAAGCTCTCGAAGTAGAAATAAACAAAGGAAATGTGTTAGCCAATGTAATTTAACCAAAATCTAATTGGAGAATTCATCAGAGATGGAGAGATATGCTAGATATAATTGATTATTAGGAAGTAATATTACTCTACTTTTGAATTCTTAAACTGAAAATTGCTGCTCACCATCTGGCACTACAAGAATGAAGTCACTTGGGGCTTCCCTGGTGGCGCAGTGATTGGGAGTCCGCCTGCCGATGCAGGGGACACGGGTTCGTGCCCCGGTCCGGGAAGATCCCACATGCCGCGGAGCGGCTGGGCCTGTGAGCTATGGCCACTGAGCCTGCACGTCCGGAGCCGCGTACGCCAAAAAAAAAAAAAAAAAAAAGAATGAAGTCACTAGCCACTGCAGTAGTTGACCTTCAAATACACAGCCTGAAACAGGAGTTCAGGGCCGGCAAAGATCAGAAATGAGGCACTCTGTACTCTGGGAAAAACTGGCAGAACAGACCTTCAGATAATTAGATACTTTTAGGAGAAGATGTTATGAACCCAATTTCTTGCATTTTCTCATATCTAGAAAAGCTCTAAAATTATTAATGGAGACATCCGCTCACCGTGACTAGCAGCAACCTCCTGCCAAAATGTATGCTTGATTCCATGGATCCCCCTTCAACAAAACACATAATACTGATCTCCCTGCCCTACTTCTTCTGAACAGTTCCTCACAGTTATCTGAGAAGTTGTCTCCCAGGCTATAGTCCTCATTTTGCCCCAAATAAAACTTCACTCACAACTCTCACATTGTGCTTTTTTTTTTTCAGTCGACAAATGTTTGATCTAACCAGCAAAATGTAACTGAATGATCAACATAAGTTCAACGGCAACATTGTTTTGATCAAGTAATATCACAGTGCTTTATAAACATGAAATGGGTCCACTACTTATTTCTAATTCGTCATATTTATCATCACCAATAATGAAAGGACTAAATATAAAAATGTGATGGAAAGGAATAGGACGAATCAAACTGGCCCCAATAATAATAATAGATACTTTCTGAAGCCTTCTGTACCGCAATAACCAGTCAAACCTGCCTCATCTTAACTGCTCTAAAAACTGACAAGGTTGATTTGGGTGCATTCCATTCTTTGATGCAAAGATCACATTCACTGTTTAAATGATGCTGAATTAAATTTCCCTTCTGATTTCTAAGTGTTCTCAGATCAGATGTGTAAATATTGATTCAAGAAGTCTGCTTGCCTCTCCTTTACACTGAGTGTTTAAATCAGTACGGGCCCCCCAAAACAACAAATTAAACCAGCTCAACTGGTTAGTAAAATTGGTTAAAAAAAAAATACTGGGAGAAGATGAAAAGCAAGCAGTTCCCTGGGTATTTAACAGAACCTGAAAAGGAGTTAAACACCTACCCGGAAGTGGAGAAAGGAGGAAAGCGGCTGTCAAAAGAAGCCCTCGCCACATGCTGGGTGATCCCAGGAGCCTGGTGTCTGTCCTTCTGTCTCAAGCAGACGTGCACTGGGTTTGTCCCTTCCTCTCAAGTGAGACAGAATGAAACCTCAGGGTTCATTCTTGTCTCTGCTTCAGGAAGTGTTTACTAAAGGTGTTGCACAACCTCAGAGCTATGGTCCTGTGACAATGGCACAGCAGGCGGAAGTTCTGGCCACAGTCTGGCTCTAAGATCCCTTGATCCTACGCTATTGTTTCTCTTTCTTTCTTCCCCATATTCCCCACTCAGAAGTAGTACATTTCCAGTAAAATACTATATTCCAATAAGCCACTGCAATAATGGCTTCAATGTAGCTTGATAAATGTGTGTATTTATTATGTGTATAATAAATATATGTGTATGTACACACTACTATATATAAAATAGATAACCAGCAAGGACCTCCTGTATAGCACAGGGAACTATACTCAGTATTTTGTAATGACCTCTAAGAGAAAAGAATCTGAAAAAGTATATATATATTTGTAAATATATATATACACACATATATACATGTATATATAAAAGTATATATATATATATGTAGCTGAATCACTTTGCGGATCCCTGAAACTAACACAACACTGTAAAGCAACTTTACTTCAATAAAAAAATGAATAAATAAAAATTAAAAAAATAAAAAGCAAAATAAATAAATACATGTATATGTATTTGCTATGTTGGCAAAAATTTATTGAGAAGGTTATCCTCTCACATATATAAGTGGTTCAGTGAAGCAATTTCTGATCCAATCCCATTATTGTGTAAAACTCTCTTTTCCAGTTATTTTGTATCCTTAGCCTGTTCTTCCACAATGGCGATCTCAGGGAGCTTGAACTCTCATGAAATAAGAATGTAGGACTCTATAAGCTCAAGGTTTTTCAGCCCTCCAAGGGTATTCGTATCATCAATAACAACCAAGAGAAGGGGGTAGGGGGAAGCCTTTAAGACTCAAAAAATGTAATTTCCAGGATAATTTCAGGAGTTGTCACAGGTGGTAGTGAGTCTAAGCTGGCATGCCCAGATATCACACAGTATAGCTAATATTAATTAGAGCTGCTTACCAAGTTCCAGGTCCTTTATACTAATTATCATATTGATTCTTATGATACTCCTGTGTGATAAATATCATCTTACCCATATTTTGTATACGAAAAAAACTGGGGTTTAAAAAGATAAAAAATTCAGAAGATTAAGACTCAGTTTTCCTCATTTTATAGAATAAAAAGAGTACGCAGCTTGCCCACAGTTACCTAGCTAGCAAGTGGTAGGAGTGGAATTTGGACCTGGTGTTGTCTGATCTCCTACTCACAGACTCTAATGCCTCCTACTTATGCAGTTGATTTATACACCCAGTTATATTTCTGTTGAGAAAGAAATATACAATTCCTACTAAAAAACCCTGAAGTATTATTACAAAACCCATTCCTGGTCCACTAAAATTATGCATCATTTTATGGATTCTGAAGCACATTCTTATACTAGTGATTGCAATGAAAAGGGATATCTCTAAATGATAATACACATATTGGCCAACAAGCATAAGGGAATTTTTTAATCTAGTTATTGAACATTTCAGCCAACAGGACATCACAGGTGTCTTGTCTCTTCCATCCAAGTTCTACTGGTTTGTTTTTTTCAGGGAACAGAAAGAATACCTCTGCTTTTAAATGACTACATGGTTTTTCTCCATTAATTCTGTACACATTCATTAGTATCTTATGCGTAGGACGCTGAGGTCATGGCTGAAAACACAATCATTTCCTTTGAGACGCTTACAGTCTGGTGAGGCAGATAGGCAAGAACAGTTACCATGAAGTTGTGCAAAGTGAGTACTGTCCGTATATCACAGTACCTTGTGTTTAGTGCTATGATAGATTTAGGCATAGAGGTCAGAAGTCAGAGGTGACCTCTATGCCGAAATCCTATCAGGGCAAGGAAGGCTTCCTGGAGGCAAGAACAATGAGATCAATGAAGAACCAACTGTGAGAAGTAGTGAGGAGGATAAACACATTAGTTTATGGCTGGTAATGTTTTGGTGTTTTTGGAGCAAAGAGTGTCTGGGGGAATGGGAAGATGTTGTTGTGATATCAGCACAGGAACTTGAGTGGGAAAATACAGGTTCAAGTTCTTACTCTGCCACTTGCTTTATTACACTGGGAATATAACTTTCTCTTAAATCTTGATTATGGAGAAAGTTAAGTTCCAAAGTCATGTAGCAAATAACTTCCAGCATTCTACTTCACTGGACTTTATAAGGATCAAATGATAATATATATCTGAAAAGCGCTTGTAAAATGTTTACTTTATCCTCTATTCTACAAAAATTTCTCTTAGTTAAATGTCACCTAAAGAGAGGATTCTAACAAGATGATCCATTTTAATCATTTGATTAAAAATAGTGAGGAATGAAATCTGATCTGCTTACAGGTAAGAACATTACTACTTTGAACTGGCGTTCCAGATTGTGTAGTTCCTATGCATTGTAATGTATAAGACACTTGTAAAGCCCCTCCCCTTTAATATACGCCTGATGCCATATGAAGTTCATTGTATGTGGTGTCGCTAGTTCCTATTAAAATTTTTCGATGTTATGTATCAACAACTCCAAGTCACATATGCAGAAACTGAGGTCCAGATGTATTAAGGGAGTTTTTGCAGGGACTCCAGCAGTGTGTAGCTTATGAAGGATTGTTTTTTGGTAGCGTTGGAGTTACTCAGATCCTATTCCATCCTTCAGGGCCACAGTCCACTGGGAGATGATTATCAGAAAAAGAAAATCCTTTAGGGATGCTGGCTGGGAAAGACTGATAGTGAAAGGACCCCACAGCACCAAGCAGGAGACAGGCAATGAGGATCAATGTAATGTATCAGGGAGGATCTGGTCTTGAGCTCTGCCTTTTCATTGATGCTTTGGGAAGTGTTTCTTGGAGCAGAGTGTCTGTACCACAATAGGACACCCTCTCTTCTTGTTTTCCTCCCTGCTGCACACCTCAAAAAAGAAACTTCTGGAGAAACAGACATAGATAAATGGGTAGGGGAGGTGTTCAAGGTTTAAAACACCTTATCTTTACCTCTTAGGAGTAGATGGACCTAAAACCGAGAGTGGGATCATGGGAAAAAAAGGACCCAATTATGGGTAGGTTACTAAGACTCATAGATTGTATCTGATTTAATAAATATAATCATTCTGCTGTGTTCTCTGTATGTTTATGTCATTCAAGGCTTTCAAAATTTCTTCAACAGTAATTATTTAGAATCATCAAATCATTTGAATGAGAGATCAGGTCTTGAACTCTGCCCAAGATGGGTTCTCATTGAAGCTCCAGGAAGATCTTACTGTCACTGTTTCACCTCCCAGGACCATTATAGCTCTGTCCCTATTCACTAAGGGCGAAGAGAAATAGCACACATGGAAGACTGTATTTTTCCTCAAAAGAATTTCACAAAAATCTCTTTTCACCCCAGAATTCTCACTATTCTTTCTGCTTTCCATTCTGATTAGTTCAAAGAACATCACGTAGAAAAAAGACCAAATGATGTTAGTATTGGAACTGGGAGAAAAGGATTATTCAGTCACCACCTACTTGACTCTACTCAGACCAAGGGGATGCAAAGTCTTCTTAGCAGGAAGAGAGAAAGGAGCAAATGTTTACTGTGTGATTAGAATGTGCTAGTTGCTTTGTATTAACATGAATCATCTTCACCACAACCTAGAACCTAGAGAAGGAAGTGTCATTGAATTATCAAAGACTTGATATTGATCTTTTCTTTTTTTTGGCCGCTCAGCTTGCGGGATCTTACTTCCCTGACCAGGGATCGAACCTGCACCCCCTGCAGCAGAAGTGCGGAGTCTTAACAACTGGACCCCCAGAGAAGTCCCAGTATTGATCTTTTCTGAGCATGTGTGACAAATCTTGGGACCACTGGGTGCAGGATCTTTCTTCAATATGTTTTTATTTAATTAAAACATTCCTACACTGCTATGCTCTTACAAATTGCTTCTGGAATAGACAGAGAGGTACCATTCCTTCAACCCAAAGACGCACTACAGGGTCAGTGAATACTGAGGCACCACCTTTGTTTTCCCTGTGCCCAGAAATGAACTACACAGAGCTGGCACTGAGTAAATTAAATAGCTTCCAGAGACGCTATTAAAGGATATGTTGTAGAGCATAAGGAACTCAGGCGTTAACACGGCTGAATACATTCCTTCTGCCTGCTCTATACACATACTGTACACATGTTGAAAATTTACTGGATCACATCTCTATAACAGAACAAACAAAAATACAAACTTAAGAGTTTAAAGGAAGACAGACTGGTCATCAAATTCAAGATTTTAAAATATTTTCTATTTTAAACAAGTAATTCAACCACTGAGAATCACTCTAAGAAAATTGTCTGAAATATAAAATGGGTTTTATGCATCAAGATGTTAATTACATTATCTATAAGGAATAAAACTAAAACTAAATATCCAAAAATAAAAAGATGGGCATATAGTCAACTACATACCTATTCAATAAAATATTAAACCACTTACAATGAAATTTAATATTATGGGAAATTGTAACATTATAATATTGGAACAAAACTGAAGCCACAAATTTATATACAAAATAGTCACAACTACATAAAAATTTCAAAAACCTATTTGGAGTAAAAAAAAAAAAAAAGCAAAAAAATTCCCAAATATTTAGAGAGGTGTTTCTGTATGTGCTGGGAAGATGAACTACATAAAAATTTCAAAAACCTATTTGGAGTAAAAAAATAAAAAAAGCAAAAAAATTCCCAAGTATTTAGGGAGGTGTTTCTGTATGTGCTGGGAAGATGAATGTTTTTACCTCTTTTCTTCCTGTATTTCTTAATTTTTAAGTAGTGGTTACTATTATTTTTATAATTTAAAAATTACATAAAGTAAACACAAAAATCAAAATATTTTTTCAGAACTATAGACAGACCTATTCTCCCCTAAACTGAGCTCTCCTTGAGGAT